ACTGAGAAAGACAATGGTTTCTGGCAATAATTGGTCACATCATGAAAACCTGCTTTCATTTTGGCACCTCTAGACCAAAGACTTTCTAAAGACACCATCTGTTCTGGAAACAAAGAATTTTCTGCAGTGATACACACTCTTTTTTCTGCTGTATGATCCTCACATATCAGTAAAGCAGTCTCTACACACAATGAGAACACTGAAAGTTAGAGAAATCCTTATTTCCAGTTGTTTGTTCCCATCTTTCACTATTCAATCTCATCTTTCATTATTTCACTATTTGCCTTTTCAACAAATATGACTCCTGCACAGCTGGTTAACATATTTTGTTGCTAGAAGTCTTATTAGCCTAAGTTAGGAAGTTGTTTAAAAAAACAAAATACACACCACTGACACATGTAACAAAAACACAGACACCTCAGATGATTAGACCAAAGTTACTCCGCAAAGTTTTATCAGTTAAAAGAACAGTATTTGATTTTAGTGACATCACCTGGGGTATTTGCGTAACATCAGCAAACGAAGACGATCTTTAGCCTCCTCAATGTTAAGTGGTGGCCTTTGTGAAAGAGTGGAGTCATGTTCCAATCTACTACAGAGATTCTGAAGTTTTATGAGCAGCCCTGCTTTGTCCTGTTTCCCAACAGAGATCCAATGAACTCCTCCTGGAAAGTAATCTAACAAGAAAAGCAATATTAATCATGCTATACATTTTAAATAATTTAAAATATTTTATAGTAACTTACAGTAATAAGTCAGCATTAATTAAAACACAAATCTCTAAAATCTGTTGCAAGCCATCCTTGCAACTCTACTATTAACACCAAAGGGTGGTTCTACAAGACCACTCCTGTTTATTTTTAAAAGGAACAGACTCTGTAAGACAAGTACCCACAGAAATTTCACACCATCACTGATGCTGTTGTCCCTCCTTTCTACACATCGTCCTTCCTGTCCCTCCACAGCCCCTTCTGCATCCATCTTTCTGCTAGTCTGACCTACCATTTACATCTTTAACCGTGTACTACTGCAAGAGTTCAGAGCCTGGGGTATGACAGTGATCAAGAAGATATCTAGATTAGTCAGCTGTAGAAGAGGATGCTATCGTATCTAACCCTACATCATTTTTTTCTTTAATGCCAAGTCCTAATTTCTCCTCCTAGTATCCTATGCAAGAAAAAATAAATAAAATAGAAAAAAATGCCACTAAACGTTTGTATCTGTGATCTACTTTAAGCTAAGGCAATAGTAATCACCCACAAATGCCTGCCACTATTAAAAAGTTAGAGCAAGATTTTTTTAAACTCATATAGCAAGGAGTTGGAGGACCTTATAGGCAATGCCCAAAAGGAATATAACTAGATATATTATTTTGCACTAAAAGAAATAAAAATTTTAAGGTAATCAAGGATGCATCTACTCTCATAAACCAAAGCAAATGCTAAGGTGAACAGCTATTCAAAATCTTTTTCTACAAACTAATAGAATACTTAGTGGTCCTAGACCACCACATGGTTATGGAAGTTGTATATTGCAAGCAAATATTTCAGAATCACCTAAGAAATTTAGAAATCCAAATCACTTTCAAAATGACATATGCACCATCCATGTCCAATATGTGTATATCTACAGTAATTTTTATTAAAAACTGATGTTTTTCTGAAAGTACCTTCCAAGAGCTGAGGATCCCTTAAAGCTTCTGCTGTCAAAACAGTCTTCCCACAGCCTGCCATTCCATAAACTGTGACCCAACCTGGATCACTTCCCAAGCAGTACAGTTTCTTTTTAATAGCATCTACCAGTTTTGGTCGAGTGACAAACACAACTGGTCTCTGTGGTACGCCTCCTTCGCAGAGAATGGTCTTCACTAAAGTTAAGAACAAGAAACATCAAAATAAAACACGAGTTCTAAATGAGATGCCTCTTCAAACCCAACCAAACAACTCTTCACCCAAAATAACTAGTGGGCTCCCTCCCCACCTCATGTCCCATAAAAATGCCCTAAAAACTGCTGGACTCAAAATACCAAATATCAAAAAAAATACTGCTTTTTAGAAATAAAAATCGTTACTTAGCATGTAACTAGCCCCCTACCTAAAACAGTGTTCAAATTAATAACTGCATTGGGAAAACTTATTAAACCCTAGAAGTGAAAGAGAATTAACATCTCCCATGGAAACTGTGGCAAACACAGGAGGTCAGCATTACTATACCGAAAAATCAAGTGTGGTATAATCAATCTCAGCCACAGGTAACCACACCATGGATGCAGCAAAAAAGAAAGGATGCTGTGTAGGACCTTTCCTTGGCAGTTCACAGCACAGCACTGGAGTCCAAGCAAGACTTCCACTGATTTAAGCTGAGATAGCATGACTTGAAAGAGGTAAAGCATAACAGGAAAGGAAATGTGCACTTCATCTGCCCACCTTGTGGCTATAAGGAGTAACATAACTGATAAACTTTGATTACCTAAGATAGCCTTGAACTCCACGTGCCTTTGACACTTACTAAATGCAGAGTACCAGTAAATATGGCAGTTAATCACATGCAGTTAGAAGGTTCTGCACATTAGAAAGTACAAATTTATTTCATGTCAAAGATGATCCTGATGACAACGTGAGTAAAAGTTATGGAACTTATACAGGGTAACTATAAGATCTGGTGGAAAGAATTAAGTAACCTAATAATTAGATCAATTAATCAATGATCAACTAGATCAATGTAGGTTGAGAGATTCCAGATAAATAGCTGAATATTTATCAAAATAAATATCAGAATTTTGGAGGCTACAGGTTTTTCTTTTAATACATACAAATGAGAGTCTTTCACTTACAACAAAAATGTTACAAATTAGAAAAAACGTAAGAGCACTAGTTCTTCTGCCCTTTAAAATCAGCATTATTCAATATAAACACTTCCAAGATGACCTGTAAAAATTGTAACTGTTGTAACTTTCCTGCCATATTAAGTAGATGAAATAGACATAGTTACTACACTACCAAAATAAACAAATGCACCAACTGCTCCTTTTTCATCGGAACAGGTATTACACATAGTCACTTTCTAAGGAATAAAAAAGACAAGTTGTGTTCACACTGCAGCACAGGGATTGCTGTAGTTACACTGACCGTAGGAAGTCATTCCATCCATTGAGCTCTTTCTGTTACCAGACGAGACGGCAGGGATGCCATCCTGAAGAAGCGCAGCAAGATCTCTGTACCCTTCATGGAGCAGTGCATTATAAAATGATCTATATGAATTATTATCTTTTGTAAGAATAATGTTTATTAGCATAGCTGCTCGCTCCTTCTGTGTATTCTAGAAAAAAAAAATTAGAAGAGGTATTATACAAAACTAAGAAACCCCAGAAATCATTTAATCTATCACTTTTTAAATTATAGCCTATTTAGAGTTACAGAAATAGTCTTTAATTTACCAAGCCCTTAACTTTATTAAGAGCAACAAAAACTGTGTGCTAGAATTCGACAAATACAGGAATTAGATAGTCAGAAATTACTATTTTTAAAAGGATGGTAAAATATGTGAGTAGACTAGAAAAAGAAATAGCAGTGAGAGATAATTCTACCTGTTGCTTCACTCTCTCCTCCTCCTGTAATGTCAATACTTCATCAGAAATCATACGATCCATAATATAAGAAGTCTTGATGTCATTTTCCAGTGCTTGACGATTCATAAGCAAATAGTTTCTACTCTTGACATCCATATTTCTTCAGTGTGAAAAAGAGTGGCCGGGGGAAGTAAATCAGACTGGGAACATAACTTACAAGCATGAGGAAAGAAGTTTTAGAACAGCTTATAAATTTTGGTGTTAAAATCAGAAGGAGTAGCAAAGCACTAATTCTGAAAATACATATTTTTTCCCCATTCCTATGACTTTATGTTTATGAACACTTCCAGAACTATAAAACCAAAGGCTGCAAGCTTCTCATATACTAGCATCTTGCTAAATGTCTCTATGAAAAGGTCTTCTCCCCACTCACTACATCCCCCATTTTTTTTTTTAACTCCTTGGACTATGTGATTGGGTCAACAGGATTAGAAAGAGGACTGGCCTCATTGCACGGGATAAACTCATTGTTGTCTCCAAGTTTAAGACTCCATACAAGGACACTTGGATCATTATATGACGGAAGAGGGAGCACCCAACACTGCCATTGACTTCCTTTATCAGCATTTGGACACGCAACTTCAAACTTGCATTCTTCCTCCATATCATAAAAAACCAAATGTCTGAAGAAAACAGGTGAAAACTATTGACTACGGCATAAAGAACTGATCAGCGACTCCGAGAGTCCCAATCGACCAAAACGCTCTCTCTGATCACACTCCTGCCAGGAAAGCCCCATAAACAAGTGGAAACTCCTCCACAGAGCACCCACAGAAGCGTTCGCCTTTTCCGGCACTCTCCCCTTCAGGAGCTGGGCAGACTTAGAACAGATGCCTTTGGGTAAGCCCGTGATGGAGAGCCCCTTCCGCCGTGCTGACAGAATTTCCTATAGTCACTAAAAATTACGTAGTTAAGAAAGCCTTCCACCCTACCTTTATCCCACCGCACCGCGGAGGAAAGGGGACGCCAAACAGATAATAACAATACTGCTACATGCGAGGCAAATACAGAAGAAATCGCTCCACAAAGACCCCAAACAAAGGGTTAACTCACACCGCGCCGCTGTTGCCAGCCGCCAACCAAATAGAAACCGGGGCGCTCAGACCGCCCGCCGGCCCCTGCCCTGCCCCGGCGGAACCCTCGGTCCGGTCCGGTCCGGTCCGTCCCTGCGTGTCCAGCACGGCGCTCACCTGGCGGGAGCCCCGCAGCCGCCGGCCCCGAGCCCCGCCGAGCCCCGAGGCGCAGCCGCTGTCCCGCGGCTCCCGGGCAGGCGGCGCCGGCAGCGCTTCCTCCTTCCGGGCCTGGGCGGGGAAGGGCCGGCCCGGCCCAGCCCGGCCCGGCCGCTCGCTCGCTGCCGGGCCCGCTCGCCGCCGAACAAAGCCCCGCGCTGCCTCCCGCGCCGGCGCGGAGCCGCCGAGCCCGGCTGCGCTGCCGGGATCGCTGCCCCGGCGGGCGGGCCCGGACGTGGCGCAGCGGGCGGCGATGCGCCAGCCGCGGCCAGGGGAGGGGCCCCGGGACTGCGAACGTGGTGCCTGCGGGGCAGGGCGGCCCTGCCCGCCTCCGCCCCCCGCCCCTGAGGCCGGAGGAGCGCGGCGGGTACGGGGCAGCGGCCGCAGGGAGGGGAGATGGGAGGTCGGCACTGCTGGCAGGGGGCGCGGGGCGCGGAGGGGATGTGGGTCACTTTGGGGGAAGAAGAGGAGATGTGGGTCACTTTGGGGGGAGCGGCGGGGATGTGGGTCACTTTGGGGGGCGCGGAGGGGATGTGGGTCACTCTGGGGGGAGCGGCGGGGATGTGGGTCACTTTGGGGGGAGCGGCGGGGATGTGGGTCACTTTGGGGGGAGCGGAGGGGATGTGGGTCACTTTGGGGGGAGCGGACCGGTCCGGAAGGGTCTCTGGGGAGCTGCGGTTCATCCCTCTGTACCGCACAGGGCTGCGCGCTGAAGCTGTCCTGTTAAAGCAGAGCTTTTCTCTAGTAAACTCTTTTTCTAACTACTATTCAGAGCTCTCTTTTTTTCCTCCACTTTAACTTAATAATATGTGCTCTTGAATCCCAAGATGTTTTAAAAGCTTCAAAATACAATTTTTCTGTTCTGGTGGCTTCTTTGGTTTGGTTTTGGTTTTTTTGTTGGTTTGGGTTTTTTTTCTTCGGAAATGAAATTTTTTTTTCCTCCATGCTTCAAGCTCAGTGTGCTTCCTAGTACTGTGGCTCAAACAGCTCTAAACTACCTGCATGACAGATTGGATTTTAAACAATACCTTTTACCCCTGTACATGACTATGTAAGTATCTCCAAATATTTATATTTTGATATAAATGCTAGCATTTGATATAAATGATAGCAATGCTGCTAAGTGATCCAAAACCCCAGCAGAACAATTTGGTCTCAAATTAGGCTAAAGCAACTCTGACAAGGATCAAGTCTATTTTGAGGAGTATGGTGGGAGATTTTAGGCTTAAAAACTACACTCTGTACTTCACTTGGATGGTTAAAGTATGAGCTGGAGATTCATATTGCCTCAATCTATTCTGACCTTAATTTTATCAACAGGAAGTTTTCCTGTTTACTAGAGGAATGATTTCTTTTATCATGACTTTTTGTTAACTGATGTTTGTGATTTTAGAGACGACATGAAATCATTACAGCAGAACTACTAAATTAAAGCTTGATTTGCAATTTTATTTTTTTAATGGAAAAATTAACTTTCCCCTTTTAGTGTGGTGTAGATGATAATTCTTTTTTAAATCTACAGGTAAAACACAAGTGCATCAATGAAATTGCTGATGAACTTGTGACAGTCATCAGCTACAAAAAGAAATATACTTTTAATCCTTGTAATTTTAAACATATGTTTAAAATAACTTATTCTATAACAGACAAAATATTTCTGGAAACATGAAGTTAGCTTAAGCTTGGAAAGTCAATTCAGCTGGAGAAAATATGATAGCAGTGCTCTGTAATATAGAAAGCAAATGAAAGTATTATGATACTTTACAAAAGTTCACATAACTAAGAAGCATAGTGAGCACCAAAAGGAACATTTTTGGAGGTGTATTTATGTACTTACAGTTTATATTTGAGGATGTTTAAAATGTAAGGAGTTAAAAACAAGTCCTTTCTGGTTTTTTGGGTTTTGGTTGTTTCTTTTTTTCTAGCTTTCTCCTTTGCTTCTGCATTTTAAAACCACAAAATGTCTGAAGTTAAGCCGAGGAAAAAAGGTATTTCTTCATCCAAGACCAGTGAAGATTCACAGAAGGCTGAGAAGCACAGTAATTACGGGAAGCTGGCAAGTCCCAGGACCAGCAATAATCACAGTTCCTTTTGGATGGACTCAAGGACAAGTTTGAGTGTCGTTTCCCTTGCTGTTTGCCTGGTGGTGAGCTGGTAGGTAACCCTCTCTAAAGAGGATTTTAGTATTTTCTTTTGTATTCTGTAGGGTGTGTGGTTTTCATGTTAGCAGAGAGCTTGGGCTAATTGTCTACAGAAACATGTTAGAGCCAGAAGGATCCAGGAAAGAGTAGCAGTATTGACAAGCAGGGAAACACGGGCGTGCAGTGAGTTACTGTAGAAGCTCCATCTGTTACATGAGGTTGAAGGTGCCTTGCTCATGAATTCTAAAGACCTGCTTTGGAGACTGCATCTACCTGGAGAGCAACTTAGGCTGACAGGAAGTGCTCATTTGGCAGGCAATAAATGGACAGAAGAAGTGAAATAGAGTTTTCTGTAAATCATTTCCTCATCAGTGTAATAAACCATTCGTCAGGCGGAGTCTTTTAAGTAAAGGTCAAATACCTTTGTTAAAGATATTTTAAAATATCTTAGCAGCATCAGTGCCTTAGTTACCTTAGCATGCAGTGTAAAAGCAAAGACATCTATCAATGCTTCCTTGCTGTCATACCTTTTTTAGAAGTATCAAGACAGATCAATTTCTTTTTTTTTTCCTTTTTTTGTCACATACTGATCTAGCAAATTCTGTGAAAACAAATCCCTCCAGTAACAATTTGCTCTGAATCAGGTCCTGGAATACTTAATATATACTAATTAAGAAGTTACGTTTTCTGTTTATTTGCTTGAAATTTCCAGGTTTCTATTTCAACAGTCAGGTCAATTTTCTGATCTGGAAAGAAAGTACAATTTTTTACATCAAGAAGCTGAAAAAATCCTGGATGTGGGAAATAAAGTAAACTTAATTTCTGAAAAGGTAATAATTAACATCTCAATTGGATGATCTTTGGTGAACATTTCTCATTGCTTACTTCACTGTTATTTCATTAATTTAACTGCCTGTTTTAAAACAAGTTTTCTGAATGTGTTTTACTTGCCTGTGAATAGGCATTTAGAGACTATTTCATGTGACAAAGCATGTCAATCCATGCCATTGTTCCAGTAGGTTGTATCTCAGTATAATTTTTTAGAAACTAAACTATTTTTAAGAACTTACATATATTCATGTTTCATTTTACCATTCCTCTTTCATGTGCGATTCTAAGGTACATTGATTTGAAGAAAATTTACCAGCATTTTGATGTAACAGACCTGCCCTAATAACACCAAGACATAATAAAGCGATAGATAAGAAAATACTATAGTAATGAAAAAAGATATTACCACGTGTGACATAATCCAGTAGAAAAGCTGTGCTGGCTGCTGAATTATCCCTGATACATTATGAATAATGATGGTAGCACGGCATGGCTCATGCCAGTGATTTTGTTTCAGCACTGATCTCTGAATAATGTCATTCATATATGATGTAATTTGGATATTTATATACTATACTTCAGATTGCAAAGTGTTGCATGGGATTTACTGTATTTTTGACAAAAACACCAAGCATGGAAAATTGCGTATATGCTATAGAAGTTCAACAACAGTCATACCTTTTTTTCCGTGACTTTTTCATGCTAGGTTAATCAATGATATTTTAAAGAGGAACCATGGAAATGCACCATGGAGGAACTTTGTAACAAGTACAATGGTTTTTAAGGGACTTTATTATCTCTTAATAAATGGAAATGGTTTTCTGTTGTTACTTTTGTTAAGTAGACACAGACATTGTTTTGTGTTGTAAATGCAGCTTGAGTCTTCTGAAAGTATCCTGCGAGAAGCTGCCTCATCCATCTCTGTGATGACTGAGTTTGGGCAGGAAATATCTTCTCTTCATAACACCATAAATGATATTCAGAACAATGAACAGACTCTATCTCTAAAGATGCAGAGCATTAATGAGAAGTTCCAAAATGTTACAAATTCCTGGAGAAGAAGTCTGGATGAAATGAACACAAATGCTAGTGGTTTAAAATCTGAAGCAAAGTTCATACATACAGAAGTTACTTCCAAAATTAATGAAGTTGACCAAAGAATTAAATCCCTTGCAGAAAGAGTAAGAGATTTGGAAGACAGTACAGCCAGAAATATCAGAACACTAAAAAAGCAAGAAGATGATGAATTCTCTAGAGTTGAACAAAAGTTGAACTTGGATGCAAAGTCAGTTGAAAAGATAGAAGAAGAACAGAATAGTCTGGTAGCCAAGGACACAGACCTGAATCAGAAACTTGCAAACTATGAACCTAAAATTGAGGAGTGCAAGAGCCATTTGCCAACAATTGAAAATGCTATTCACTCTATTCTTAGGTTGTCAAGTGACTTGCTTGGTATGGAGAAAAAGATAGAGGACTTGAAGACACAGCTGTACGCTGTGGAAAATGATATGCTGAAAACTGTTTCTGATACAGTGGTGATACAGAAGGCTCTTGAAGGCCTCCAGTCCAATGGCAGCTTGTTCAAAGTGCAGCATGAGCTAGCTGTTCTAGAAGCAGGGCCTGACATTGCAGTATCTTCAAAAGCAGAAGTAACTTTAGAAAGCTTTAACTTAGAAAATGACCAGAATGGGGATAAGTGAATTTGGTCTTAGGCTTTTCATTGATGAAAAAGCACTTTTTTTATAAAGGATTATTTGCAGTTTATTTATTAAAATATCTTTTCTATTGAAAATAATTTGAAGCCAGGTATTTAGATTTAAGGGGGGAAAAGTTAATATTTTTAGTTTGTTTTTAGTTTTCACTACTTAGTTTCTTTTGTTGTTACTTTGTGTATTTTTTCCATAGACTTGTAACACAGTGAACTGATGATTTGTGTTTTCAGAGGTCACATTGGAAAGTCACGTAGCACTTTTTTGTAATTTTTTGTTGTAATAGAAGAAGTACTAACATTTATTAAGTATACTGACAAGAAAAAAACAAAATCTGGTTGTTTTGTAACAGAAATTGATTTCCTAGAGACAGGGTTTGCACTCAAATTGAATGTCAGAATAGTAAGATATTTCATTAAAGTATAGCTTGAATTTTGACATTGAGTTGTTAAGCTAGAAATATTTTTGTATCCCTCCAGTGTGAAAAGACTTGGAACTTAATGAAACAGCTGGAAGATCTTCAGATAATTTCTCACATTAAATATCTGCAGGAAGATATTTATACAATGAAAACATGGTCTAGCCGCATAATTAAAAAACAAGAAGAACTGGAGAAGAATTTAACAAGCCTTTTTCATGCAGTTTCAAGCACTGAACAGAACGCAGCTTCTGTAGCAAAAAACATAACATTGACAATTGTGACAGTAAAAACTGACATAAGGCGCATTTCAGGCCTGGTCTCAGACATGACTGCACTGACAGATTCTTTGCAAACATTAGAAGATAAAGTAGAAAAAGGTGAAAAGACAACAGTAAAAAATATAGGTGACCTCCTTACCAGTAGCATCGACCGAAGTACGAAAATACAAAGCCTGGCATCCAGTAACGCAAGAAAAATCAAGCAAATTAAGACAGCACTGTCTGAGTTAAAGAGCGATTTTAACAAGCATTCTGATAGACTTTTGAATCTTGAAGGTGACAGAGCAAAAGTTCTGAAGACAGTTGCATTTGCAAATGATTTAAAACCTAAGATGTACAGAGTTAAAAAGGAGTTTGCCATCTTGGAGCCCTTAATAAATGACCTAACACTAAGAATAGGAAGATTAGTGGAGGAGGTTTTGCAACGGCAGAAAGAAATTGCTTTACTGAATGAGAAATTGGCCAATCTAACAAGAGTTCAAACTCAGATCAAGGATGTGAAAGATGAAATAACTAAGAGTTCAGATATTAATTGATCACTGAAAGGCCATTGCCTAAAGAATAATGTTTGAGGAGTGTGAACTTCCATCATGTGTAGTACTGAGAAGGCAGACAATATTTAAATGCTTCATTTAGAAGCACACCTAAACCTGAAATTTGTCCTATTCTTTTGAACAGGACAGGAAAAAGTCATACTTATTTCAAGGGAGAAATAATAATGTGAACAAAAAATGTACCTCTCTGCATGTATTTTTCTTTCTGAAGAATGAGAGACGCTATATTTAATAAATTGCTTGTTTTGTACAATAAAGTAGTGTTAAAGTACAGAATTAAGTTCTTAGCTTAAAAGTTTGCTTTCATGAAGAAAGCAGGACCCAAAAATGACAGATCTCCAGTTTCACTTTCCTGCTGCAAAGGAAGGAATAGAAGAATTGTGGTTTCCAGCTAAACAAGAGGTAGTCCAACAGCAATAGCACTTCGTCTCTATTCACTCTATGATTTTTGTAAACCAGTTTCTTTTTAAAATAATACTTAACAAGGTAAATGCAGTGAAGCAAGAAATCCTCAGAAATATTGCTGATGCTTCCAGAAAGTTTGTCATACATTCAGATGGAATAATTTGTGTAAGGCTTTGTGTGAGGCTTTATAATTGTAAATCAAAATTACTGTGCAGCACTGTTCTGTCTTTAAAACACAGAATACTCTATAGGGACAATGCTCTGAAAGATGTAATAATGCTGCTGATGGCTTTATCCCAGTGTCACAGTGTCTGCTCAGAAATCCTAACAGTGTTAGTCATTTATTATTTCTTAGTCTGTAAAATACTAAAGTGAGCAGCAGAATTAGCAAAGAGAAGCTACTTGTATCCCAAAAGGCTATTGCTATGAACTACTGGGACTATTTAAGTGCTGAAGAACAACAGATTTGAGACATTTGAAGTAGACAGTAACAAGATAGTGGGAATGTTTAAGAGGAAGGTGGGGGAGAGAAGTGAATTAAATAGGAATAAAAATGGCTATAAATATCAATTGGAAGCAATACAGCAACTCAGAAAATCCCTGTACATGAAATTGTATCAAGAAGTGTAAGTATACAGAAAAGCCTTTATATCTTTTTAGTTGGCCATACCTTAACATCTGGCAACTACTAGACCCTCAATTGTAGGGAAGATGCAAACATTCCTCTCTCTCACTATTTTCATCGTCATTCAGCATTCCATGTCTTTTGGTCTGCTTCATGTTGTTGGTCTTCTGTACCTTCTTTGCTTCATTTGCCCACAGTCAGCCTCCAATACTTTGTTTAAAGTTTTCCTCTTTTTGATATAGGTCTATTCCTATCTCCCCTTTTCTTCAACCCCTTTCCAGTCCACTTGACAGATGGCAAGAATAAACCTGTCAAAAGACAAGTTTTCCTAGAAGCATCCACAGATACTCTACCAACCCCTGTCCATTTGCTCTTCCACACAGTTTTCAAGTGAGCTCCTGAATATAACCAAATGGCATTTGAAGGAGGCAGCAACATTAAAGAACAGCCATGGTAAAGTATGCATTGCCTGTCATACCTCAAGCAATGTATGTACACATGCACATACACCTTAGGGGATTGAGGGTTACATAATAAATATATTGTGGATGCAAGGCACCACAGGCTACAGTCATTTTATTCGCTTTGCTTTCAATTTTATGAAAGCATCATTTGTGGTCAGTAGCCAGTATGACTCAAAGAGGCAGAACTGGAGAACTGGTAGAGCAACATCTACACAAGTGATGTGGAAAATACATTCCAGCTGCACAGTTAATCTGAGCAGCCGTGACACAGCAGAGGTCTGTCTGCATGAAAAGAGTGCACTTGCTCCTTGGAACAGTAACCAGAAAACAAGCCAGGATAAACAACTGTGGATTTTACTTTCAACCTCCAAATTCTAGAACACATCTCCCAGTGAAAAGCCGAGTATACAGTCCTGTGCGTGGTCTCCAAGGGTTGAAGTTAAGCATACAAAAAATGTCACAGGACCATTCATTTCCCTTTCCCTTTAGATGTATGCAGACTTCCTACCCTTACTTCCCAGGACAATCCTCTCAGAAACTTTCTTGCTGCAAGCAAGACAAAACAATTAAGTCACAAAGGTAAAGTTTACTTGAAAAAAGTATTTTGGAATAATCTGTATCTCAAGTTGTTACACCACTCTACTGACCTCAGCAGTAAGGCAAGCGATCAGAATTTCTCCCATAATCTACACCAGTATTACAAATCTCTTATTTGCCATTCAGGCACATATCTCCACTGTACTAAAAAATGGAAGTTTTATAGTAGCTTTATAATTAGACTGCTCTAAGCAAGGAGGCAGAGAGCTCCTTCTACAATGGAAAAGGTGAGCAGAGAGAGAGGTATTTTTCAAAAATTTAAAGCAGATGGGTAACCCTGCCTCTTTGTTTAGTACTGTCAGTGGTGGGAGAGTATTGGCTTAGTCAAACTACAACCCTTTAGTTAATTCCTAGGGTCATGCAGTGATACTTTGCAATTTTATTAAATTATTTGAGAGATTCAGGTAATAATGAAAATTTACAGCTATGCTACTTAAAACAGATCATTCCATTGAGCCCAAACTGTACTGACATTCAGGGCATCTTTGCTTTTAATTTAGCTTTCAGGTACAAAACTGGCCAATTAATATACATGTCAGCACCTTGAAAGGAAAAAAACCCCAAATACCAGCAACAACACTGAAGTATCAATGATGAAAAATTACATGAGCAAATTAACCCCAAAAGAATAAAATCCACTTTTATACACCAGAATGTGTACTCAGCCAAGAATTTTCTGCTAGCAGTATCATGTCCCCAGCACCGAGTTACAAAAATTATATTCTGTAACACAGCCATGTAGCTATTAAGCTCATCTACCCAAGGTACTCATATTTGCTATAAAAAAGCAGGATGTTTATTGTTTTCACTGTGAACTACATAATTTCTATGTAAAAATGTAAATGAGTTACAACTATTTGTATTATTACAGTCCATTTTAAAATGATATGCAACAGACATTTCCGCAAGTATCAGTGAGTGTCAGCGCATTTCATCTGTAACACAACCTGATACAAACACCATGAGCAAATGCAGTTGTTACTCCAAATTTATATATATGGTATGCTTTAAACCAGAAAGCTCATCTCAGCTCCATAACCAGCAAGAAAGTATGTTTTCTCCTTCATAAAATATACACAAGCAGCATATATATAATCCATGTTTTACAGAGCACTTTGGGGTTTATTGATGGGTCTGGAGTTACCTAAGTTCAAAATGGGGTACCCTTTTTGGATCCAGGACTTTCCTTGCAATGGAAGTGCAAATCCATCAAAAGCACCACTGCTCCATCTCAACCTTCAGAAAATGTACCAGGCATTATGCACAAAGCAGTTGACAACAAAGTTGACATTTTAGATGCATTTTGATACTACATTTTTCCTAATAAAGCTTATTTAAAATACCAGCAGGCGACCCATCAAGCAACACTCTTTCCTAACAAGCATCTGAACAATGGCTGAATGTCAATGAAGCTGGCAGCTGCAAGGCAATTCTCTCCCCCTCTTGTGTTTTCCACTGAAACACAACACTGCAAGGAGCACTAAATGTATTTTCCCTTTCTCAGTTACAGAACAGGAACTGCTGCCTGCTCCATGTAGTCTTATCTCAGATCTACCTTGATAAAATTATCTAAGCATCTTTAAAAGACCATTTCAGGTCTACCAGTGAGCAATAAGAAAATGGACTTAAGATTCTTATTATTGCACATATTTGTAACTAACTGTGCAACACTGACTTAATCCTAGAGAAAAATTGTGCGTTTTGCTCCACATACAGAACGAGAGTTTTGAGAAATTTAGCTCAGCACTAGATTGCTTGACAGACTACCTTACTACATGAGCGAAGCTTATCTCACTCTCTGCCAGCCTTAAAATTTGAGTTCTTCACTTTCCCCAAGTTTAGAAGGAACTTTCAGCTAACAAAGAAAAACTTACTGAGTTAAAACATGCCTCTAAAGAAACTGATTTTCAGTACATGAAAGTGACAGTTTTGTGTAGTAAGCTGCACCATACACACAACTTCAAAAGGTGATTTAACATCAACAGCCTTAATACAAGATCAAGTCATAGTAAGGGCTTTTCTCCAAGGAAGCTCTTACAAGTATTTAACGACTCATTAAGTAATTTCAGAGCTTCCCATTCACAATGGGGAAACAAGATTTACATACTTTTAGCATTAAATAATTTTAATTCAACAAAGTACTTGTATTTTGTTTAGACTTAGGGTCTAAATTTGACTTTGCTGCATAATACAGGCAGATAGCAGCCACTCTAAAGAGTGCCTTTATTACTGTCATGGTGACAGAGAAATGGTGTAGTTCTAGCTCTTACTCTGCATTTTGAAAGGCAACAATTCAAAATAAGGCCCAGCTTTCTCATTTAGCATAATCATTCAAAATCTTGGAAGCTGGAGGATTTTCCCAGGGAGTGAGAAGCTCAGTGCTACAATAGCAGGCATATCTGCCTCCAGCAAGATACAGCAGTCTGTACATTTATGATATTCCAATGGCACCTGCCTGATTTGTCCTTTTGGCTCTGAAGGAGCCAAATAAAGAGGAAGAAAGCAGTATAACATAAGTAAGTACCAAGCTAAGTTCAGTATCAACAGCTCACATGCTGTAAGGCAGCCTATCCAGAGTATCGCAAAAAACCCACATCAGCTCCAGCTCTTATTCGTGAACAAAGTAATACTGGATAGGGTGTAGTGATTACTAACTGTGGGTTATTGAACAGGTGAAATGAGAAAAAAATTCAAAAACAAATACCTTAAGATTGCCTTGTCTCCTCTTATGTGTCGAGGAACATGTATTTCTTCACATCAAGGTATAAAAAAGTTGGTATGGCTCCTTGTGCTGCAGCAATACATGGTTCAACCATAATTCAGTATTATACTAATTCAGAAAAAAAAACATGAAATAAAAAACTCCAGGCGTAGCAAATGTAGGGAAAAGCTGGCAAGTTTTTCAAACTTTAGAATAAAAGACAAGCCATTTTTATTTTATTGTAAAGCTGAAGTACACCATTAGTAGTCAAATATATTTGAAAATCTTTATTAACATCAGCTTTTCTCTAGTTAAGAGGTAGCAACTACTCTTTAATTCCACAGGACAATCAGAATGGCCAAGTTCTTTGGTGTGTTTCAAAGCCAACAGAAGCAGAAATTAGTCAAGTAAATGTAAGTTAAGTTGGGATGATCATCCCAAGGCAGAAACAGCTCTAGTATGCAT